GGTGCAGAGAGGCGGGGTGGGGGTGGATCCCCCAACTGCGGGGACACCGAGGCCCTTCTCCCCAGAAGCTGGGCGGGCAGAATCGGGCCGGATGACAGGGTTCAGCCATCGGAGCTCTTGGGCTAGCAGAGCAGGGGACACCTTCGAAAGGAGCTCGTCTGTGCTGCGCAGCAGGTCCCGGCCCGGCGGCACTTCAGCGTGGCTGGACCCTTCGCTGGCAGCCGAAGAACCCACCCTGGGAGGAGGCTGGCGCTACCAGTCGGCCACCTGACCTTCCGCATCCGAGGTGTGCCCTTCTCCCGCTTGCATCTGCGGGTCAGGAAAACCAAAAGGGAGGCGCCCTCCATTAGGAAACATTCCAAAGGGAGAAAAGCTGCAAATTTGTCGGCTGGCTTTGTTGTAACCCACTTCCACTTAACTGGTTTTGATTTCTTTTGGTTTGCAAGTTCTAGGCTTTAGTGGGGAGGGGAGCACCACCGTCATCGCAGGTGACCTGAATCTTTCCGTTAACGACCGTTTTCTCAGATGGAATCGTGTGATCAGAAGGCAAAATTCTAGTGGTAGGCGACCTTAAACCTGCATTCATATTCTTCTGTATGCCTCCGTCCCACGCACACTGGTTTTTAGCATAGTCTGTTCCTGCTTTTCCTTTGTTCGTTGTACTCCCTTAACTTGCTGCCTTCTTTTTCTTGGTACACATCTGAATAATTGTAAACCTTACCTTTGTAGTGAAGTTCACCCTTGGTGCCCTGTCCCACGGAACCTGGCTTTGAATCCCAATCTCTGTGAAACAGGTTACTCAGTATTGTTAAAGCCTTGTAAATAAGTGACTCAGAGCAGCCCAGGATATGGTGACCCAGGTGTCAACCAGGTTATTTTTATACTTAAAACATAATAGCAGAGAACAGACAGAATAAACGGTTTCAATACCCCACAACAAGTGGAATAACTGACAAGCCACCAAAAATTAGAATCCCAGACCCACCAGAAAGACAATGTCTAGTAATGCCTTGGTATGTGATTTTTTTTTCATACAGAGAGCTGTCGTAGGTGTTGAGAAAAGAAAACAAAAAGACAATAGAAGTCCATTGTCTCTTGATAACTATTTCTTAAAAGCAAATGAAAGTAAGTGTTCTTATCTGAAAAATAAATAATAAAATGTTTAAAGGGTATCACCACTCCAATTGTGTCAAGCCACCTTGGACAAAGTATCCATATTGTGGTTGCCTTAATACACTAAAACATTTTTGTACATAATGTAATTATAAATCTATCAGTCTGCATGGATGCAAACTGTGTGTGACAAATCGTCTTTTAAATGGTCAATTTCAACTGTACATTTTTCATCCAAGTTGTACTCTAGCCATTGGTTTAGCGTGGACAGATATTCCATCTCTATTACCCATTTCCACAGCCCAAGTAAAACATGTTAAGAAGACTCAGAATGAATATGAAGTTATCCCATTGCTGTAGATGTTTTTAAAGTCAGATGTGGAAATTTCAAATTAGTATTTTCAATTTCCTCCCTCACTCCTCCCCTTACCTTTCCCAAGACATCAAATACCTGGCATGGTAGATTACAGAAAGACACTGAAAGAGAGAATTAAATTTTCCAATGGGAGTTAGAATATCTGGTTTACCTCCAAATTAAGTTTCTTTACAGGAAGTCAGGACCAGCTGGAAATTGTATTATCACTTCAGAACACAATATTATTTCCTTACAGAGAGATGGATCTTTGTTTGATGGGGTAACTATGGGAGTAAATTTTTAAAACTCAAGTTAATATGCCTGCAAACATCACTTCTCTGCTGTGGCACCCACAGTTGGTTGAAATTACCTACAGAGCTATCCTGTTCTGTAGTCACTATGGACTTCACATCATTCGCAGCCCTCTAGGTCAGCTGCATTTAATCCTGGCAATATGTAAGTTGAAAGGAGTGTACTTTAAAGCTTATATCCTAGACGCTCAGTCTGTGACCTGGGCTCACCTTTGCCATTTCACACAAGTTGAACAGCAAAATCACACCAGCCTTTTTCAGTCTGTCATTTCCAAGCCATATCTGAGTGGTTCCAAAGTCACCAGGGAGGAAGGTTTAAATCAGATCCTCGCACCCCACCATTGCTATGAAAGAACAACCATTTTCATTCCAGTCAAGCCATAAAGAGGTTTCTCTTCCCGTTGGATCTGAAAAATAATTTCCTTCATTCTTGTAACCTTCTCCCTTCCCATGCTGCATTGTCTCTCTACCAAGTCTGTAGGCAGACTAAATCTTGTAGAGGAGAGCCAGCTGGTGCTTAGTAAGCTTCTTTAAAAGGAAGACTCAAAATTTAATTAGCATTCACTTCTAGTATGTGAGAAATTCCAAACAATTGGGATACGTTAGAATTCCCAAACCACTGAAAAGTATTCCAGGAGAGATTCAGTGAAGTTGCAAATCACATGTGAATTGGGGTCTGTGGTTGGCATGTGAGTTAAATGCACATCTCCACGTGCAGACTCTTAAGAATAGGCGGGAGAACTGCAGAGGACCAAAGCTGAGGCGTGCTACATAGCTCCTTGGATGTGGAAGCCAGTCCAGCCACTTACACTGCCTCCTCTTTCCATCGCCCTCTATGCGCTCTGTGTCACATTTTCTTTTCCTTCAGCTTTTCATTAACTTAACCCATTGTTACAACATTCCATCTGCTCTAAGGGCCGGCCCCCTGCCCTTAGCTGGTTCTCTTCAGGGCGGGCTCCACTTGGGGCCAGTCAGTCTCCCATTTAGTCAGTTGCAGGGCCAGGAAGACAACCCAGCTCTCTTGTCCCAGATTGTGGACTTCTTTAGCCATCCAACACTGCCCGCTGGGGTGCATTTTTATGTCCTTTGGTATCCAGGAGACTCCATATACATTTCCACAAAATATTTTATAGTAAGAGAAACCCCTTGATTGTCACTTCTCCCCCTCCTCCCCACCAAGACTGTTGTCCTTCACCAAGCAGGTGTGGACTCCTTTAATTAGGAGCCTGATTGAGGATGAGAAAATGATGAAACCTAGACATAAAAGCCTCCTTAAAGGTGCTGATGGCTTTTTAACCTACTGTACTAAGTGGCTGGGTGACCACTTGCTTTTCAACTCCTTATCTCAAATGAGAAGTTTATCTTCCTCAAATAGCCCATCTCTGGCTACAACCCAAGAGAGAAAGGTAAAGGAAAGGAGAGTACATGGGGTTGCTTTGTAACTTGGCAGGGCCCGGACTCAGCAGCCAAAGACAGCCCAGGAAAGGTGACTGAAGCCTGGCAGAAGATTAGCGTGTTAACTTGGCTGCTGTCTGCAGCGGGAGGCCATGTCCAATGGCAGATAGATTTTGTGTTCTGCACATTTCTGGGTCTATAAATATGATAAGCAAGTGATGACAGAATTATAGTGTAAGGTGATGTATTACATGCAGATCATAAAGGATTTGGTATTAGGACTTAAGTAGAAAATCCCACTCCTAGCTTATTACCCAACAATATTCAGATAATGAGCTTTTGGAGAATATTTTTTCCCTATCACTAGGAAGATTTACCTGGTAACTGTCTAAAGTCTATACATATCTTTCCAAAGCCTTTAAATGCCAACTGTAGCGTGGAGAGAGAGAGAGGGGTGGCAGGAGCCGAAATGCCTCAAAAGCCATTTAAGTGTTACGTTGCAGGATTTTCAGCCCTACTCATTATGTAAAAGTAGATAAATATAGACATTTTTCTCAACACTACCCTATCGTATCACAATGGTCCAAATGCCAGAGCTTACAGATAATGTCATCACAGTGCCTAGAAACTCAAACTGTAATATATCGTAGCATTTCCTTGGTGTTTCTTAAGGTTTTTTCCCACAATGCAAGGCTCCCTCTGCCCCTGTTTCTTAGAGAGTTCACCCCACTGACAGTCTGCCTTCCCTGTGGGACTCAGTCAGTCATTTGGGGAATAGTCTTAGAAGCACATATCAACCAAGGAAGAAACTTACTGGATATCTATTGCCCACTTGCCCAGGTATAATAAACACTAAAGGGGGGAAAACTGACAAGAGCTGCCAACTAGTCAACCTGGAAGGGCAGTTCCACCCTAGGTTGGTGTCTTTCTGTTTCTTCCTTTTTTTAAAAAAAATCTATTTCTTAAATAATAATAAATGCACATGATGTGTTAAATATGTACATATATATTTCAAAGGAAAAAATGGGCACAAGATTGTCTTACAAGTCGTGCTGGCTAATTTTTAGTTTGTATTCATAAGTGGTTTTTAAAAGCCTTTTTTAAAGTGTAATTTGCATGTTCTACTTTGATTGTATGTAAACATATTTTAGAACAAAAAATGTATTTGTATTTTATTGAATATAGAGGCAAGAAAAATTGTACATTGTTTGAAATGTTCTTTTGTAACAGTTTTTATTCATAAAGCATTTTTGTACATTTAAAATGAACATGGACTTGCTGTTATTTGAGGCGTAGATACATCTGGCATGCTTTACTGTCATGCTCCTCCATGGTCTTAGATGTTGGGTTTTAAACATTTTTTTCTAAAAGAAAGCTCAGTCTTTTTTGCTACCAGATCAGGTTAGCACAGTATAGAGCACTTAACTATTAAAAAAAAAAGTTAATCCTATTCATATGTTATTCATTGTGTGAAATTAAAGACATTCAATTCAGTCTAACATGAGTTGTGAATTCTTTTGTTTTATTTTCCATCTGGTTCACATCACTGAGGAGTTTAATAGCATTTGGGGGTCTTTGCTCAGACCAACTGGATACAGAATCATTGACAAAATTCTAATCAAACTTCTTTTTTTTGTATAAAGCTGAGAGGTGCATTCTGGGCAAGATTTAAGTCTGACTTGCTGGGCTGCAGTTCAGAGAATATGGCATTACCTGGACTTCCCACCTCAGCTGAGTCATAGCACTGCTGAGAGCAGTCAAAGAGTACTGAAGAATGTTGGAAGACTCATTCTACGTTTTTAGAATTTTTTTTTGGGGGGGGGGTCAAACTCCAGTCCTTGCCCTTGTGAGGCAGGTAGCAGAACTACTGAGCTAAATCCCCAACCCTTATTCTATATTTTTAGAAAGCCATTATGGATGGAGATTAAGCTTCTTAAATATCTCATGATGTCTAATATCTGAAGGATGTATCATTGACTGCATTTCCAGTTTCACTGGAGTGATAGGAGGGATAGGCTATTTAACAAACCATATTGATTACCTAGCACAGTGCCTATGTGTGAGTCCTTGCTCCAAAGGACTTCACAAGGCTTACATTTGGGAAATGATCTAGCAGTTCTAAGCAGAATATGACAGTGGTTAAAGAGGTCTCAGAAGAGGGGTGTGCCCTGTTCTTCCTATCTTTCTCTCCCCACCCTTCCTGTTCCAAATTTACTTAAGTTTTATTATCCTGTTTTAAAGTATAATTTTGCATATGCTGGTTCAGTTATGTGCAAGCGCTGGTGCATTTATGGTTGGTTGGTTTCACCTTCTTTCCCTGTCTTCTGATGTGTCTCTTCCAAAAGTAAAGAAGACAGAGAAGAAACCTTATTGATCCCCTCTCCACCCCAACCATCAGTCTGATCCATTGTGACATTTATTCTAACATTCAATATTTGCAGCACCCACAATAGAGTAACAGAGGTGAGAAGGAATCAGTGGAAGCCATCAGGAGTACACAATCAGGGCAGCCGCCACATGGATAGAGCACTGTGTCTTAAGCGGTTTCCCAAGATTGCGAATTTTGTCAGCAACCTCTAGCAGTAGAATTTGCTCTCTTTCTCCTCTCCTTTGCCAACTTTCTTGCATCAAACCAGGAAAAAATTTAAACATTAGAGAGTCCTCTTCCTAACTCTGGCTCTTGAGATGGTTGGTATTTCTGAAATGTGCAGTAACTTCCAAAAGTGTCCTTAATCTCTTCTTACCAGCTTCTCACATAAGGAAAAAACTGTTTACTTTGAAATGGATTGTCTCAACTTTGGGGTTTTTAATCAGACTAGAGAGTAGCCGTGTGCTGAGAAAAGTTCTCAGGAAAGTCATGTGTCTACACATAAGGCTGATGTGAATCTCAATCTATAAATAGATGGGTGGAAGGAATATGTAATTCTTAATTCTTATTTTCCAGCAGCTCAATTTTTAAAAACAATTTTAGGACTCCATTCCATCAGCCTAGCAGAATCTGAATTCCACAGCCAAAAAATCATTTTTCTAACCCGGAGGAGAAGGAAGTAAGAGTCCTAAAATGCCTCACTCCAACTTCCTTCTAAATTGTTTCTCTATGCCAAGTTCTATTTCCCCAGTTTCCCTGCACTGGAAACGCAAAAGCCAGAAAGAAGGACTTTTAGCTTTTTTCTCTGCTCCTTGTGCTGTCAGATACATGCCCTGTGGGGACGAGTACAAACCACCCTGACTGCCTGTACTGAGCGGAGGCACTAAGGGAAGAAGGGGGATGTTGGAAATCAGTTACAGCTTAAAAAATCTTTCAGGCATGAAATGGGTAGGGACAAGAGGACATGGGAGCTCAGAGATCCATCCAAGGTCTTTAAAGGCTCTTTTGAGAACACATAAGGTAATGAATGGGTATGAAAGGGATGGAGAGTGGAAAGAATAATACGTGAAAGTAGTGTGTATTTTTATTAACATTATTGATACGTTCACTGTTGTGGGAAATGCCAGTATCCAGATTTTTAATTGTTATAAATCTGTGGCAATATAATTTGCTGTCATGAAACCTTTTAATTTCCAGGATGAATTAAAAACTCGTTCCAAAAGTGTTATTCACTTTCACATATGGCAAAATTGTGAAGTCACAAATGAGAAATGTTAAAAATCTCAAAGCGGTTAGAAACCACACATATTCTGTCATTATTATGCCTTAAAATTTAAAACTTAGTTCTCTTCTTTTTAGCAGAGAGAACATTGGAGTATGATTCAAGAGACCTGGGATGGGCTCTTTCTTGGTCAGTAAAGAAGTCTGTCCCTGACAGCAAAATGTCTTTGAACGTCACTTGCCTACTTGATAAAATGAGAGGTTCAACTCTGCAATATGGGCAGTGCTCTCCAAGTCTAATAGTCTCTGATTCTGTCATCTTTGTACCTTTCCAAGAAGCCCTACCTTTAATTTTCAACTTTATCCCTAACCATTCTGTGAAACTAATGACTTTTGGAGTTGCTACATCAGCAGCCTATCTTCTACCAATAGATAGGAAAGTATGGAAAAAAAAAAGTGAGGAAAATAGAGGACATATAATCAAATTCTCTCTCTTTCACTGCCCTCCTTCTTTCTTTTATGCCTTCCTTGCATACTGCCAAGTTCTATAGATGTAAGAATGAGCAAGAAAGTAAGGCCTATTCTCTGCCATCCATCTTCAAGGTATAATTCAAACCTTACCTCTTCCGGAAGAATCATGACCACAAATATACATCTTTTGTACTATGATGTAAGTTTGCAGAAGTTGTTTCCTGAAAAGGGAGACCTGGCTGAAAAAGAAAATGGAGGATCCCAAGTTGTCCCCCTGTGGTGTGGTATCTGCCCAAACTAGACATCTTTTTCTGATTCTTCCAAAAGTATTCTTGTCAGACTATAGCCTTGTAAAAGAATCAACACATTCTGTATATCCCTGAAAATTACAGGCAGGTCCTAGTAAACTAACCTCTACCTCTCTTTTTTTCGCAGTCAGACTATCTAGGTTGTTCTTGCCCCTGAGACCTCTAATGCCAGCTGCAAGCCCAAGCTACCATCCTTTGTTTCAGTTAGCAGTGTTCCGGACTTCAAAAGATCCCTGAATCCACTCCCAAGCTAAACAGTCATCGCTGCTCTTGGCCAGGAGAGGTGGGAAAAAAACAACAAAAGAGACTACAGCTAGGCTCAGCGGCATATCCTTGCCAATACAATTCACTAAGCTAGTTGACATTTGATATCTCAGAATATCTTCAGTTTTACAATAACTTTGAGACTTCTGTAGATTCATCGAAGGTTACCACGGCGTAGGCAAGGAAGTCCTGTGCAGCCCTCTCCTAACTGCCCCCTTCTGCCAGAGTCCCACAAACCACAGCACAATGTCTACACTGTGAAACTGACATTGGTGCAATCCATAGAACTTCAGATTCTCCAAGTTGTGTGTGTTGCTCACTTATGTGGGTGACTGTGGTTGTGTGTGTATAGATTTATGCAGTTCTGTCACATGTATGGCCTTGTGTATCTGCAACCACAATCCAGATACTCATTATGCAATCACCACAAAGATGTCCTTATGCTAACCACTCCATTCCCTCTCAACCCTGACAACCACTAATATGTGCTCTACCTCTGCAGTTTTGCTATTTCGAGAACGTTACACAAATGGAATCATATAATTGTTTCCTATTAAAAATAAAGTCAAGTTTTAGACTGAGTAAAAGCTATGAATATAGTAAAGTTCCCGTGAATCATGAATCGATTCTCCCTCATTATTATCATTTGCTACAAGTAACAAAACCATTATTACATGATTAGTAACTAAGGTCTACATTTTACTCAGATGCCCTTAGTTTCCAGTGAATGACCTTTTTCTTTTCCAGGATCCCACTCAGGAAACAACATTATATTTCTCCTCATGTTTCCTTAGATTTCTCTTGGCTGTTACAGTTTTTCAAACTTTTCCTGTTTGTGATGAGCCTGAAAGTTTTGAAGACCACTGGTCAAGTACTTTGTACAATGTCCCTTTAGGATTTTCCTGATGTTTTTCTCATAATTACATAAGAGCATATTGTATGTTTGGGGGACACCAAAAGACCATAGAGGTGGAATGAAATCATGGTCACTTCCTGCCAAGGGTATGTATTATCACTGTGATATATATAATTCTTAATGTTGACTGCACTTTTACTCTTTCCTCCATCTGTCTGCTTTAGAGGAAAAGTCACTACCCAGAGTCTACACTTAAGAAGTGTGAAGCTATGTTCTACCTCATTGATTGTTAAGTTTCTATGTACGTTGTTTGGAATCTCAATGCATAGGAGATTTGTCTTTACCTAACACTTGATTTGAAGTAATTTTAGACTTATAGAAAAGTAGAAAAAAACAGTAGCAAGCTCTATGCAATGACTTCACCCAGCTTCCTGCAATACCAACATAGTGCATAGCCATAGCACAGTCATTTAATATAAGAAATTAATTTGGTACCATACGTAACTACTGGCTGGATTTCACCACTTTTTACAATAGCCATTTTAAAAATATATTATTTTAAAATTATAACTGTGGTGAAATACAAAGCATTGAATTTTATCATCTTAACCATTTAAAATACACAGACTACTAGTGTTAAGCATATTTACATTGTTGTGCAACTGAGTTTCAAGATGCTGATGCCCAAGAGTTTCTTATCTTGCAAAATGGAAGCTCTGTGCCCATTAAACTCACCACACCTCACCCAACCCCCTAACAACCACCATGATATTTTCTGTCTCTACAAGTTTGATCACTTGAGATCCCACATAAGTGTAATCTTACTTTGTCTTCCAGGATATTTGTGTTTTGTTCTCTGCTTATTGCCGAGTAGTAGTCCAGGACGTAGATATACCAGTTTTTGTTCAGCTACTGAGCCACTGATGGACCTTTGAGATTTGAGGTATTACAAACATGCATATAAAAGTGCCTATGTGAAAATAAAGCTTCATTTCTCTGGAAAAAGTTGCCACAGACTGTGTTTGGTGGGTTGTGTTGTGTATGCACTTTTAGCTTTGGCGCTATCAAACAATTTTCCAGAGAATTCATACCATTTTACATCCCCGTCAACAGTACAGGAATGATCCAGTCTCTTCACCCTCACCAGTTATTGATGTTATCACTGTTTTCCTTGCAGTCATTCTGATAGATTCCTAGTTATCTTACTCTGTTTGGGCTGCGATACATAGATAGACAATAGATACATAATCACAGCTATATAGATAGAAGTATGTTCTGAAACTTGAACAGGAAAATCACATTAATATATCTAATGTAAATGTATATGCATGTGCGAATATATATGTAAGCTTCTTATTAATATTTACTTCAAATCCCTGAATTGGAATTCTTGAATTGGAAGTTTTTACTAAAACTTACAAGTGTATCTCCTAAAAGAATTTTTAAAGACACATAATTGCCCCTTTGTTTTTTATCCCATATAACAAATATAAGAGTTTCAGTAATAAAACTCCAATGCCATCATCAGTATGATTACTGAAAACATGAAAAAAGCCCAATGTGTTCCTCTTTCTGCCACTTTTGTAATGTTCTATATCAACATTTGCAGAAGCTGAAAAAGATGAGACTGCAGACTGGCGCGGCCACTGTGTAAAGCAGTATGGAGAAACCTCAAAGAACTAGGATTAGAGGTCCCATTTGACCCAGCTATTCCCGGCTGCGTATCTTCCCCAAAGAGTTAAAACAATCATATCACAGCGATATATGTGCACCCGTGTTCATAGCAGCACAGGTTGTAACAGCTAACACTTGGAAACAGCCTAATTGCCCATCAACTGGTGACTGGATAAAGAAACTGTGGGGGTTTTTTCAACATATAGAATGGAGTACTACTAAGCCATAAAGAATGAGAAATAGGGAACGGAGAAAGGGGTGAAGGGAGGGCAGGGACAAGGGGAAAAAATGAGATCCAAGACCTGTCATGGAAAGGTACAAGATCCCAATGATGAATGAATGTAACTGTACTGTATTCCAGTAAACTCAATTAAAAAAATGAATGAGAGATTAGAGTTTTATAGCTAAATAGTTGCACATTGAGGCTATATTCTTAAGTGAAATAAATAGGACACGTGTGAATACCAAAGTTTCTCTAGCTTGAGAAACTGAAATTGCAAATAAGGACTAAAAGGTATAATAGATACTGTGAAATAGGGAGAAAAGGGGCAAAGGGGAGGGGAAAGTGGGAGGGGTGGGGAAAGGAAAGAAGGGAATGGAATTAATATGAGAAAAGGAAAAAATGGAAGCAAAGGTTTTGTAAATAGGAATTGAAGGGAGGACAGGGGAATGGTGAAAAAAAAAATAACCAAGATAGATTATGTAAAGGTACAAATTTCCAATGATTCAATGTCATTATATTGTATACCTAAAATGTACCAATAAAATTAATTTAAAAAACTTATTTGTGATTGAACAAAAAAGATATGCACTTGCTCCCATTCACCCACATGTAGTCTTAGATTTGAAGGACCAGCTGTCCAGGGGCCACACACACCACACACACACACACACACACACACGCACACACGATGTCTGAAATGCATTCCCAAGGAAATTCTTAAAATGGGGCTCAGGGGAACAACGGTTCTTGAGAGCTCGCATGTTAATAATTGTGTGCCCTTTATAGTGGAAAGTCCATTGGCTGCATATAAAACCTTTGGCTCACAACCTCTTCCCTTGAGCATTTTAAGTAGGTTCTTCCATTCTCTTCTGGCATGAAGCACTGCTTTTGCAAACTTAATTGCTATCTAATTTTCTTTTGCTTATGTTGCTTTTTTTAAAAAAAGATACACAAAAAAGTTTTCTTTTTCTTTATTATCCATAGTTTTATTAGAATGTATTTTGCTATTATCAATCAATATTCTCTTTAAAGCAGTAAATTTTTTAAGGAATGCTTTTTCTGAATCATGTATTTTAGTATTATTTTGTTTCCTGGCATTGGTTTTCTTCTTCAAAGGCTTGTACTATTTTCAGGTGCTTTCTTATGCAGTTTCATTTTTAGTCACTGTTTTATGAATCCTTTTTATCTCTTCATTTCATCTTCTTAATTTTGAAATTTTTCTTCTACTTAACCTTTTATTTCCCTTCAGATAGATTATGTTGCCTTCACTCAGTCTTGTATTCTTTCTGGTTTCACCATCATTTTTGACACTGTATTTTCATTTGCTTATTTTTTCCTGAGTTCTCTCACTTCGGTTTTAAATTGTCTTATTCCTAATCTGTGCCATTGTTTCATGTCTTTCAACATTTTAATGCACTTTAACACATTCTGTTACAGTATGGTAGAGGTTGGGATTGTTTTATGGGTCCACTTTATTAGCATATTTTTCGTTCCGTATTTTGCTCTCTTCCTTTTAATACATTTCATAGGACATGCTTGCTAGTACATATCGGTTTCTAATTTGAAATTAGTTCTCCTGAACTGTTAAGAGATGAGTAGAGGGTGGTTTTTCTAACTTACAGTGTTCTATCTTTTGCTGTTTCTTTAGAGCGCTATACTATTTCTCTTTGCTTTCTACAATTTCTAGCTCTATTTTGCTCACTATTTTAGTTGAACCTTCTCTTTCTATGCTCTCTGTTATCCCTGTCATACTCTAGTGTCATTTTTTCCTCTTTCACCACCTTAATTTATTATAATTTTTCTGCAATTCTTTTTTTTTCTCATTGAGTTTATTAGTACATTTTAGTCTTACAGTACAGTTACATTCATTATTGAGATCTTGTACCTCTACATGACAGGTCTTGGTTCTCATTTTTTCCCCTTGTCCCTGCCCTCCCTTCACCTCCTCCTCCCCTCCTCTTTCACAAACACTTTATTTTCATTTTATCATATTTTTCCCTTATTACCCTCCCCCTACCCTTCCCACCTTCCCTACACCTTTAGCCTCTTTCTTCCTATTTCACATTGTCCATTATATCATTAGGACCTTATGTACTATTGTAGTTTATTCAAACCAGAGAAACTATTCGGTATTTACACATATGTGACTTATTTTATCTAGCGTCATTTTAAATGGCACATGGATTTGATTATTGAGTATATTCTCAAGGCTCGGCCATGTGCTACATTTCGGGTCATTTTTAATGAAGCCTAGAACCATCACTGCTTACAAACTAAGGATTTCTCCAACTTTAGTCTATATGCAAGCAAAATGAATTAAATGAATAGGTCACCATTATTTGAACTGGTAAAAGAAAGAAAAAAATGCATCTAAATCTAAGTGGGCCTTAAGGGATGGTTGTGGATTGCTACCCAAAGTGAAGAATACAGGAAGGCAGGTCGCCAGATGGCCTTGGTTGTCCACACTTTCCCCTCTTCCACTGACAGTTGTCCAAATAACTGTGGGGTGCATGGAGAACACAATGCAGTTAAGGAGAAAGGGTTCAGACCAAGCCAGGCTGTGGCCTCATTTGTCTTAGAAGAGGATGCTCTGCAGTACTTAAGCTCAGCAACTCAAAAGATGCCCATGGTATAAAAGCCCAGGGCAGAGTGCTTTCAGTGTATCTTGCTATAGGAGTGTCTTAGTATAATGTAGGATGTTTAGATGAAATGCCACTCCCACCCAAGGCTGTTTTCCTGGGCCTTAGGAAGCTGGCTCACCATGGATCCTAGGCGTCTGTCTGTTCTTGCTACCTATCTGTAAGTAATATATTTCCTTTACCTGGCACTGTGTGCAAGTGTTTTATCTCACCAGACTGGAGACTCTGCAAAAAGTGGCATCCTCTGGTAGATGTCATAAATGAGAGGAAGAAAATACAAGCAAAGATGTAACAGTTATGCACATATTGTTATGCATATAAGAGTTATTAGGAACAGGGAGGAAGTCAGAGTGGCTGGTGAGGTAACGTGCTACAGAGGAAGGGGCCAATGGGAAATCAAAGTGAATAAATAGGAGAGAATCATAATGCTAAAAGGAAAAGGAATTGGAGCTGAACTAGCTGATCATTTATGATACATTTTGAAAACAGTAAAGCAAGATTTAAAATTTCAGAGAGAAAAATTTGTGGTTTACAGGCCAGATTTTATATTTGGATTATGTGGCCCCTGTCCAGCTTAGTATCTTGCACACAGAATATTTCAAATTTGCTGATTCAACACAACAGTAAATTACTCTGGGCCTACTAAAAAACTATCCTGGTGAGCCAATACAAATACACTGTCCATAAAGCAGGTGCGGGCCCTCAAGCAAAACATATGCAATGATGGATAACATAGTTGAGATTAAAAACTCACAATCCAGTGCAGCTGTGAATGACCATCAGCCTGGCTTAATGTTAAAAAAAAAACAACTATGTCCCCTTTTAATGCATTTAAGGGATGCTATTTTCAAGAGTCACACATGGGAAGCAAGCAAAGAACAAATAAGCTTAAACTCAGAAGTAAATGTTAGTACTTAACAGGTACTATTTTTCTCTTGGTTATTCTCCTTTTCTTTGTAACCCTAAGTATGAGTCTGTCCCATCTAGACCAAAGGTTGTTGAACTATGGCTCACAGACCAAACGTAGTCTGTTGTTATTTTGGGGTGCCCTGTAGCCAAGAATGTTTTTTTATATTTTCAAATGGTTGAAAAAAATCAAAACAAGAATATTTCATGTCACATGAAGTCAGATTTCAGCGCCCATGCAATAAAGTGATATTTTGGCACAGATCATTCATTTACATGTTATCTGGGATTTTATTTGGGATCCACCAAAGTTAAAATCATTTAACTTACAAAACCTTCAACAATTGTCTTCTGCTCCTTCACAAAGAAAGGGTGCTGACTAATAGGAATAAACTGGAATCTTGGTTCTTAGGAAATTTATACAATATAAACACATGATCCAGCTCAGTAGGAAATTTACCTTGTACCATTGTACTGGCTCCTGAAAAGGAACACTAATCCCCATCTAGTTTTTTATAAGCCCACTTTTACCTTGTCATTTGAACTTGAAGTTCTGGAATAAATTATGCTTATTTAGGCTCTCATTAACCCTTTCATGTCTCAGTGGTTCTGGGATTCCCGTTCAGTTAAAATCTACTGCTCTCCAGAATCCCATCCTAAACTATGCTCTGCCAGGTAGAAGCAGGCACCTCTCTGCCTTCCTGGAGCATTCAGGCAATGCTTTCTGATCACTCAGCCTAACTCAGGTTGAATTAGCTGTCATTGTTCTATGCTGAGTGTCTCTGAAGTCCAAGTGAGCATTTCAAGGGATGAGACTTTACTGAGTGGGTTTTTTTGTCCTTCCTATATAGTGCCAACCATGACCTGTTACAAGACTCTCAATATGTATCTGTTGATTGATTAATAGATTGGCAGAGGAGCTGGGCCAGTGAGGTAGCATCCTGTGGAGAAGAAAGAGCCACCAGATCAACCTTCAGGTGGGCTGTGCTTGAAATAGTGTCCATTATTTTGTGGTCTTTCATGCTCCTTCTTGGTCCACTGGATTTGAATAGCCTTTGAAAAGGAGAAAAGATGGTGCAAGCTAACAAAAGCAACCTTACCTCCATCTGCCTTCAATTCCCAATCTGGGAAACTGTTTCCAGAAGTCCTGGTACATAAGAACCTGATGTGGTGACAGAACATTCTGTCTTCCTCTTGTTATATGAGCAAGCATACTAAGTTTCTGCAGACTCATAAATCCTATGGGCCTTTTCCAGCCTCTCTACTCAGGCTGTGGGCCCCCATTCCAGGAAAGGGATGCTTTGAAATCCCCTTCAAAGGAAAATATCATGTTTCTGCACATCCAGCACCACTGTGGGTTGATGTTGTCCAGGGCAGGTAGGATGGGCTGGCCGTGGAGTCATTTGTGCTTCCTGAAGTTCTTGTTTTTCAGAATTGTGCAGGGAAATACAAGCTGCTCAGCACCGTTCAGAGAAACGTGTTTGAGGGAGCTGAAGTGAGTATTGTAAGTTTATTAACTTGAATTTTCCGGAAGGAGATCCACAAAAGTGTGTTCCAGGAGCAAACACAGGGTGGCTGCCTACTGAAGGAACTGGAGCAAACCATCACTCAGAGAGGGTACCGGAGCAGACCCAAGGAATTCATAGCAGACCTCTAGCAAGCAACTTTCCAACTGGCGCTCTTTGGAAAATCTCTCTCAGTAGGAAGAAAATCCTGGTGTCCTGCCTGGAGGTGAAGGGAGATGTAGAGTGGGTAAGGACATGTCTAGGTTGATACACATAAACCAGACACCTAGCGCAGCACTGCTACTCCATACTTTCTCTTCCCAGGCAAGGCCAATAATTGAGTACTTCTTCCTCCTTCTCATCCTCCTCCTCATCTTCCCCCCTCCTCTTCCCCTCCCCCTCCCTCTCACCTTCTTCCTCCTCCTGCTCCTCCTCTTCATCCTCCTCTCTTCTAATTCTTCCTCCTCCCTCTTCCTTTCCCCTTCCTCTTCCTCCTCCTTCTACTCCTCCTCCACTTCCTCCTCCACTTCTTCCTCCACTCCTCTCCCCTCCCCCTCCCCTTCTTTTTCCTGCTTCTCCTCTTCTTCCTTCTCCTCTTCTAGTTCTTCTGCCTCCTCCTCTCCCTCTCTCTGCCCTCCTTCCTTGTCCTCCTCGTCCTCCAGTGGGAACGGTTTGTGTATGGTGTAAATGTAGAACACTGGATGTGGGCAGGTGGACAAGCATTCTCTTCAGCTGCCTCTTTTGTAATATGAGTGATCATGATATAATGCCCAGTGTGACCTTGAAAATTAAACAAGACAATGTCTGTGAAAGTACTTTACTAACCACTATCCAAGTGGAAGTCATTATTAGTAAGCCTGCCAATACTACATATGCAGCTACTGATACTACAGCTACAGCTACTAGTCCTGCTAAGACTATCAGTACAGTATTACTAATCAAATGGACAGACGAGCTGAAGGATCTGGAAACCACATCATACCTAAGAGGAATGGTTGCATAAAACTGGAGTCAGCCCGTACTGAAATCTCAGTGGGAAAATAACTGCTCTCAGGATCTGAAAATTTGTCGTGGAGACAAGTCTGGAGGCTTTTTCTCAGTCCAGTTTCCTGCCCCCATCACTGAAAACTCAAGACCATAGAGCAGAATTACAAGCAGAAATATTTCACTACAAGACAAGGACTTGCTCTTAATATAATTGCCAAATAGTGCAAAGTGCCATCTTGGGACATAACGACAGTGTCTTTGGAAATGTCAATGGGGTGATGAGAAGCTATCCAGGAAGACTTAGGCATTCATCCATTAGTTTATTTATGCAATGGATGGACTCTGAATTATATGCAGTGCTTTAGGTACTGAGAATACTACCATAACCGAATACCAACTCTTGTTCTCACAGCCTTTATGTTAGTGTACAGCACTGGGGCTGCAGGGAAGATGGATGCTGAGCTCCTATGGCCACTCCCAGAATATGTCCAACATATAATAGCAATAAAAACAATATATTATAACAAAATAGCAACAACTGAAGAAAGAACAGTAACCTGGTAATAACAAGAATCTAAACAGGTGGCCGGGTGTGGTGACACCCACCTGTAATCCCAGCACTTGGGAGGCTGAGGCAGGAGGATCTCTGTGAGTTTGAGACCAACCTGAGCTACATAGTGAGTTCCAGGTCAGTCTCAACTACATAGTGAGACCCTGTCTCAAAAAACAAACAAACAAACAAAAATCTAAACAGACCCAATAAGAAGGATGAAACACATTTGAAATCTTTAAAAAGCAGGCTTCACATATGTTAACATCCAGCATAATTAGCAGCAGACCAATTGTACCTTAAGACCACACTCTCAGAATAGGTGTTACTGTGAAAAGCAATCTAATAAATATACGGTAATGGACAAAGCATTTGAACAGTTATTAAGCAGCCATTTTGTAAAAGAAAATGTGTATTCATTTGATTTGTTTGCATAGATAAATCTCAAAAGCTGATAACAGTCCTCATCTGTGAGAGCAAGGGAAATAACAGGCTGAGGCTATAGTGAGAGACACTACTCGGTATACACTTTTTTGAAACCATGGTCATTTTGGAGCAATGTGATTGTATTAACTATTCAGAAATTAAAGGAAGAAATTACTTGGAGAACACGAAGTCTAATTCTTTGACAAAATTTATAGTCATGTGATAATGCAGTTCTGTGATAATGCAGCTCTGCAAAATTTTAGTACAATTAATAGCAATGTACAGAAACCTCATTTGTATTTTCTTAAAAATAAGAATACAGTGGAACACACATAAAATTCAGAACTACATGAAGATAGATGTATTTGAGATGCATGTTCAAAATCATTTTATAGGCAGTGGTGTGCAGACAAGATTATTTGGTGTTGACTGGCCTAGAGACTTAAGTCTGTACTCTGGAGGTGGCCCCTCTGTGTACCTTTCTCGCCTCCAGTCTGTCCCATCCCATGTGAATTCTGTGCTCCAATATACTCTGGCCTGTATTACACAAAGGGACAAGGGCCAACTCATACATAAAAACAGAACTCTGATCCACAACCTGCCGGAAACTAACCCTTTGTCTACAACCCAAGAGACCAGCCTATTGGGAGTTGGCTTTGCAGGAAGCCTGATCCCTCTCTGATGACAACCCAGGAAGCTGAGCAGAAACTTCTGTAAACAATCAGCTCCACGTAGCTAGGACTTGGTGTATAACTGACATGTCCCTCACTTTTGCCCCTCTTTCCAACTTAGGATCAACTAAATAAGGCCAAATCTGCTCCTCTAGCCAGTCCCACCCCCGAAGAAGCATCCTCTTTCCCAGCACAAATCTCTCCTTCCTCTGTCTGTCGCTGAGTCTCTGCCAAAACACAGGTTGCAAGAGGCTGACTCCCTTGCTGTAGGAGGCTCTGAATTAATGGCTTTTGTTTTTCTCATTTGATTAGTTTTTACCTATTTCCTTACCAGCATGGAGTGTTTCAGGTCTAAACCTTATATTATATGCTGCCCTTATTGCCAGCCCAGCTTCACTCCATTTTCTTCTCAAAAGCCCCCAAGTCCTGGAATCAAAACTGTTCTCCTTCCTGCTCAGGCCCCACCTGCATCTTCGACATTTGCTTGCTGCTTTTCTCCTCGGGCCCTCCAGCCACGCTGGCCTCTTCTCAGCTCCTCGAACGTGCTGGTTCTCATTCTGTAGCCCTCACAGGCTGCTGCTTGGCCTGAAATACTTCATTCACTTGTGCTGTTACTGGTCCATCAACCTCACCACTCAGAGTCATCTTTATAACAGAATTTGCTCGGACACACTATCACACTCCTCTTCAAGAAGACTCCCCTCTAACAACACTCAAGTTAATTTGCTTTTCAGTGTACATTTTGATTGGTTATGATGAAATATTTATTTTATATATATATGTTTGATGTTTGCTCTCACCATCAGCCTGGAAGCTGCATGAGGTAAAAACTAGCTCTATTTTCCTCTACCAGTGTATATGCTCTGCATAAGATGGCTGCTGCGTAGCCATATGTTGGATTAATAGGCGTACATGGTACAAGACCCACGGAAGATGTTCTTCCTTCCTTCCCAGACTGCCAGAAATGTGACATGAACCTCTTCTTCCGGGTTCTCAAAATGCATTGCACACCCTTAATTTCTTCTGCACGTGGACCATATTGTGGTCACTGACATAGATCTGCCTTTTTCACAATAAGCCTAGGACATGTTTTTAGGGTCAGAAATATTTGTTCGAGAGACGTGTGTTGACTCATGGGACTAGAGACTTATGAGATATTTAAGGGCACATGCTTTGATCAAAGATCTTTCTGCCTAGACAGAAGTTACAGAGTAGAGGGAAAGCCCTGAGAATGGTGATAGAATAGTGGTGGGAGATCGACAGTGGAAGAGAGAGTGGGGGGGGTTGGAAGGCAAAAAAGTGAAGTGGAAATGAGTATAAGTGGCTTAAGGCTTAACGGAAAAGAAAATCCTGGGGTCAGAGAGACCTGTGATGCCGTGTTCTATCATTTCCTAGTGGTGGCACCTCAAGAAAGCAAGTTACTTTACCCCTTAACATCCCAGTCTCCTGTTTTATAAGAAAAATACAGACTCTACATGTACCATTGCAGTAAATATAAATAAAAGAATGCAAGAAAATCACTTTTGTAGTGTCTGGAACATATGTAGCATTCCACAAATGTTAGTTATTTTGACATTACTGCAATTCAAAATTTTGTCATTACTGTTTTATTCAGAGTTGTCTGTGAGCCAAATCTAGAAAGTGCTAGTACTTAAGTGACTAAGGAAATCAAAGATCATCTTGAACTGGGCAATCAGTGCAGAATTTGTACATGCAATGAAGAATTTGTGAAGAAGAAGAGTGTATAGTGCTGGGATGAGAGCTGTTATGTTTAGAGAACTAAATTACACTTTTCCAAAGTATCTATCGATTCCCTTAGTCCCTTCCTCCATCTGTCC